TACCCACCAATTAGTGTGTCAGAAATTACAGAGACTGACCATATGAAATTGGACTTGATAATCTATTTATTATTATTATAATTCATTTATATAGTCATCTTCAACTTCTTTCATCAACGTTTTAAAGTTTTTTATATGTCTTGAAACTTACAACATTGTAAAATTTATCCCTAAATCTTTCATGTTTTCTTTTTTTTTTTTTTTTTTGAGACAGAGCCTCAAACTGTCCCCCTGGGCAGAGTGCCATGGCATTACAGCTCACAGCAACCTCCAACTCCTGGGCTCAAGCGAGTCTCCTGCCTCCGCCTCCCAAGTAGCTGGGACCACAGGCGCCCGTCACAACGCCCGGCCATTTTTTGGTTGCAGCCATCATTGTTGTTTGGTGGGTCCAGGCTGGGGATTCGAACCCACCACCTTAGGTGTACGTGGCTGGCGCCTTAGCCGGTTGAGCCATAGACGCCGAGCCTCATGTTTTCTTTAGTTACAAATGGCATCGCTTTACTTCTAGTTCAATTGTTTGTTGCTAATTCGTGTAGAAATAAAATTGTACATCACATGATTACACATCCTTATACATCCTGTCACATACACTTTGAAGCTTATCTGTTAATTCTAATTGATTTTTTTATATATTCCAGTATTTTCTATGGAGACAGTGGTGTAGCCTGGTAAATAAGACTGTTTCACTTCTCCTATTGGCAGTGACCAAGAGCAACTGTAACTCTTAACACACTGCTGGTAGAAAAACACTCTGGTGTGGACACTCTGGAAAACATTTAGCAGCTGATTTTAAAGTAAAACATACTTACTCCATAACCCAGCTGTACCCAAGAAAAGTAGAAACAGGTCCACAGAAAGTCTGATGCAAATATTTAGAGTAGCTTTATGAATAATAGCCCCAAACTGGAAAGAACTCAAATGCCCATCAGGTGAAGAATAAACAAATAGTGGTTTATCAGTACATGGAATATTACTCAACAGAAAAAAAGGAGTAAACTGTTCATACATTCAACATGGTTATATATAATATGGATAAATTTCAAAAGGAGTATTTCAGTGCAAAAACCAGAGACAAAAGTCTACAAAATATATTTATTTCATTTTGAAATTCTAGAAAAGGAGAAACTGTAGTTACAAAACTTTGTGCATATATTGTATCTTTCTTTTAAAAAAAGGAGAGGAGAACAAAATGAATTGTGAGTCTTTGGCCCAACCTGCGCATCATAGTAGAAGACCTGGAGCTATCTTAAAAATTCTTAACATATGATAATCAAAAATTTGACTATAATCACTCAGTCTGTGAAGTGGATGACTAAGTTGAATATTTTGCTATTTTGAGTCATTGAAATGAGACTGTAACATACATTTTGTTCTGGTGACTCCAAATGGGCTCTGAGAAAACTTTCAGAAAAATAGCTTTGAAAATGAAGTTCTTAGTAATTCCATCCTTGGAATAAAATTTGTAGCTTCCTTGAGTTCAGTACCTTTAATGGGTACATGTGTTTTAAGGATTCCTTTTATAAAAAAATGTAATTTCATTTTACTTTTCTCTTTTAAATTACTCTTTCTTCTAAACAATCGCTTTGAACTCTCATTGGTGATAGCCATGATACCTGATTTTTCAGATAAAGAAACAAGGTTAGGAATCCAGGGAACCAGCTCAAAGGCTGCAAGGTCCTTCTGAACATTAAATAGGGTGACCAACAGGTCACCAGCAGCTCCAGAGGCAGAAGTCCCAAACCAGGATAAGAAATAATTTTCTAATGATCAAAGCTGTCTGAAATTGACATGGACGATCTGAAGGAGAAAGTGAGTTCCCCTGGTTCAACTGGCAACTGCAGGCTCCTTTGGCGGAAACAGAAGGGAGAAGTTTCCAGCATGAGCTGGAGTGTTGGCCTCGGCAATCACTCGGTGGGTGTGGGGCTGCAGCCGGGCTCCCCGTGTGTGCCCTGGCTAGAGGTGACTTGAGTCTTACATGGGAGACTTCATGCAGCTTTGGGTCTTGTGGATGCTTAGATGATAAATTTCCTGTGCCATGCTGTTTGAATTTAAATTTCAGGATGGCAGTCCTTTGACCTGTTGTTAAAGATGGTATCGAGCGCCTTCATACGGTCTGAACAATACTGTTCTGCGTGAGTTGAAATTAGCTCCAGAGACACTTGCAGTCAAACAGATGTGCATATTTCTGTCTGTTTCAATGCCACCCAATACCTCTTCCTGATTCACTCAGTTTTCTGGAAAATAATAAATGAATAATTTGCCCTCATTATTGGTTTAAATGAAGAAGTCGCTAGATCTCAAAAACCCAGGAACATATCTTCGGGTAAAGGCTGAAAGGCATGATTCTTTTTCCCAAAGCCCCTAAGGCTTAGCAAAATATATTCAGTACTTAAAAGAGCTAACATCTTCTTCCCCGTAGCCTAGTAGAAGAGGGGAAAGCAGCCCCAGAAAATCAAATTTGCCATTGCCTGGGCGACTCCATGTAGGGCACCATCTTGAATAAAGTTGAAGATTTATTGCAGAGTCACAAAGGGAAGGGGAAACTTATTTTCTGGAGCAGGCATGTTCCAGCCTCCCTCCTGAGAAGCAGCGAGAGCATGCCCAGATTCTTTTCATCAAATTAATTCTTACTGGGATCCTTCTGCTTATTCGCTCAACAACTATTTAGTGAAAGCCCAGCGTGTACAGTACTGTGGGAGATGCCATGAGGAATACAGGCAAAAAGACGGCACCGTCCTTACCTGAGGTAACTCAGAATCGATCTGGGGTGGGCAAGACAGAAGAGTAAGCACCCCCTGCAGGGAGTGTCTGAGCCTGTGGTTGAATAGATTGGAAAACAGAGGCGGCGGAGGTCAGAGAAGGAGAGGAGGTTTCACTGGAGCTATTATATTTAAAGGTAGTTTGTGAGCCGTGCTGTCCTGAGGACAGGGCAGGGGCGTTCTCTTTGGTAGAAATGTCAAGGAGAATGACAATGAGGGGCAATTATGTTGGTGCTTAGGACCTTGCTGTTGACCTTCACCATCCAGGAGAGGATGTGATTGGCAGCAGACTAGTGAGCTGCAGGCAGGAGCGTCAGAGGAAAGGGAGAGGGGATCACTCGCTGGAGATGTTTAATAGCAAAGGGGGAAAGTCTTATACAACAGAGTCAACGGGAACTCTTTTTTCTCCTATGAGTAAATTATTATTTTGAAGGAGAGAGGCCAAACATGTCTGAAAAAAATTAAGTTGTAGAATCCCGGGAAACATATTGTTAAAGGCAAGAACCACAGGATAATTGTTAGCATTTTTGATATGGACATAAGCTGGTGTGAAATATATTTTTGCGTTTTATGAAAAAGCATTACATTAAGAAACTCAAATATCATTATTTATTTTTATTGTTGGGGATTCTTGGAGGGTACACAGAAGCAGGTTACATTAATTGCTTTTGTTAGATAAGGACCCTCTTATATTTATGTCCCACCCCCAAAAGGTGAACCCTATCCCTTGACCCCCCACGCCTTCCCTCCTTCCCTTTCTCAGCTCTCCCCGTCCCCCACCCCCCACTGTGTACCAGGACCTTAATTGTCCTCATATCAGAATTGAGTACATGAGGTTCTTATTTCTCCATTCTTGTGATGCTTTACTAAGAATAGTGTGTTCCACATCCATCCAGGTTAATACAAAGGATGTGAAGTCTCTGTCTTGTTTAGAGGCTGTACTATTCCATGGAATATAAATACCACAGTTTGGGTGGCTCAGTGAGTAGGGCGCCAGCCCCATGTACCAAGGGTGGCGGGTTCAAACCCGGCCCTGGCTGAACTGCAACCAAAAAATAGCCAGGCGTTGTGGTGGGCGCCTGTAATCCCAGCTACTCGGGAGGCTGAGGCAAGAGAATCGCTTAAGCCCAGCAGTTGGAGGTTGCTGTGAAATGTGTGACGCCATGGCACTCTACCGAGGGAGACTCTGTCTCTACAGAAAAAAAAAAATACCACAGTTTGTTAATCCATGCCTGGGTTGGGGGGCATTTAGGGTGTTTCCACATTTTGGCAATTGTAAATTGAGCTGTGATAAACAGTCTAGTACATGTGCCCTTGTGATAAAAGGATTATTTTTCTTCTGGGTAGATGCCCAGCAGTGGGATTCCAGGGTCAAAGGGGAGGTCTAGCTTGAGTTCTTTGAGGGTTCTCCACACTGCCTTCCCAAAAGGTTATATTAGTTTGCAGTCCCACCAGCAGTGTAAAAGTGTTTCCTTCTCTCCACATCCACGCCAGCACTGCAGTTTTGAGACTTTGTGATGTGGGCCATTCTCACTGGGATTAGATGGTATCTCAGGGTGGTTTTGATCTGCATTTCTCTAATTATTAGGGATGATGAGCATTTTTTCATATGTTTACAAGCCATTCATCTGTCTTCTTTAGAGAAGGTTCTGTTCATCCCTCTTGCCCAGTGATCTAAGGGATTGTTGGCCCAAAAATGATGAGACCTTCAAGTGAGAAGCTGAGGAGAAAAGATTAGAAGTAGTTCCACATTTAAACTCTTGTTCTTTAAAGGACGTTAAAGTCTTCTAGCTTCGGGCAGTGATTTTGTGGAATTGTTTTTTCCTTTTTGATGGCATGTGGAGGAAGGAAGCTGAAGGCCTGGGCCTGCGCTGACCACCCTTTTACATCGTTTGACATTGTTGCTTATTTGAATAAGATGGGGAAGAAAAGAGAGTCGCACCACGCCCCTGGTAGCTAAACTTAGTTTCCGTGAACTTCCCTTACCACAGTATGGAAGTTCTCAGGGCACTGTCATTCAGGAGTCAGTCAAGTTTCATCATGTCCATGACACTGTGTGCAGGTGTTCAGGGGTAGGGCTGAAACACTGAGCAAGTAATTGCTCATGTGGTTATGTGTGATCCCTAAACCTGCATGAATGTTCCTTAACACGACCTTTTTGCTGTTTAAGACCAACCTACATGCCCCTCATGCCTTCCTAATGCAACGTGTGTTTGAAGGCATTGTCCCTGTCCTCCCCAGACACAGGTGTGTTTGCAGTGGTGAACAGCCATTCCTTGTCCTTGCTGGGGAAGCTGACCATCAGCGCCGCGTTTAACATCGTCTACATCTACACCTCGGAGCTGTACCCCACGGTCATCAGGTACGCGCCTCACACAGATACGCTCGTACACGCTTCAAGTTTCCTTATTCCTGCTTGTACCAGGAGGGGTGTGGCTCTCATTTCCTCTGCCCCTGGAGTCCGGGGAGGGCTAGCAGCAGTACGGCAAACACTTGAACTCAGACCCTGTCTTTGCAGACTGCTATTTGCCTATTTGCCTGAGGAAACTGGCTTCGTGTAGCTCGTGTAATCTGTAAGAGAAACACTCCATACTAGACGTGTCTCGTAGCCCAGATAGTGCTCAGAAGCTGTGATTATTTTGGTGTGTTTTGTTTATTCAGTCACCCTTCCTGTGTACAGGCCAGGGGGAAAGGTCCCTGTTCTCACAGAGCCTATTTGTTAGCACAAAATTAGACATTTTTGAAAGATAATTTCATATAGTAACAAGCAAACATTAGGTTTAAATATTACTTGTGAGAATAAATCCCCAGCCTAAATTTCCCCTCCTACGTCTGAAAGCAAAAAACAAACCCAAATTTGAGGGATGGGGGTGCAGCTTACACGTTGCAGAACTTCCCACGTGTTCTGGGCTGGTGTTCCCTCGGCCAGCCCTTGCCCAGTCGTTTTGAGGATCATTCCAGATAGATCCTTCCCTGATCCAGGCAGTAAGTCTCACGGTTCTTCTGCCTGTTCATTAAGTCCCTTTTCCCAGTAAGAGACCAGATTATCTGCGACTGTCTAGTTACTTCCTAATTCGTTCTAAAACCAGCATTCTCTGGTTACTGCCTGTAACACTAGGATAATGATTCTGTCCAAACTGGGACACTTCAGAGAGCAGATATGGATGTTATTAACAGGTTCAGCTGGGATACCAGCGTGATTCATGGTCACCCTACCTAAAACCATCTCCACTGTCTCTCCCTGCCTCCCACCCCTTCAGCCTTCCCTAAGACGGTGATTGTTCTTGGTTTCCTGAAAATATATGCTTAGTCAATTCCTTTTTATATGTCTGACCCTTTAATAGTTAAGTTTAAATAAATGGGCAGACTTTTTAGATCATAAACCCTGACCCTGTGTGGCTAGATTCACCGGTTGGGGGGGGGGGGGCGGGGGGGGCTAAGACACAAAGATCTGCAAAAAGATTTGATAACAAATATCCAGAAGCTCATTTCAGCATCATCCTCTGAGGTTGCACTGCCACGTTATGGTACTGACTAGCCTCATGTGGCTACTTACATTTAAATTATAATTAAAATTAAACAAATAGGGTGGTGCTTGTGGCTCAAGGAGTAGGGCGCCCACCCCATATGCTGGAGATGGTGGGTTGCAACCCAGCCCCAGACAAAAAAAAAAAAACTGCAAAAATAAATAAATAAATAAAAATTTCCATTCCTCATTCCCGCTCGCCACATTTCAGGTTAGTCCCTTAGGAGTCGCATCTGTATAGTGGCTTCCCGTTGAACCCTGTAAGTATCAAACACAAACAGCATCCCAGCATTTGGTCTGTGGCTCTGGTCTGCAGCTCTGCTCTGAGGGAGCCTGTGCTTTTACTTTGGGATATACCATTTTTGGGGCGCCTAACACAGCCCCGCACAAACCCTTTCCCTCCTCCTTTCCTCCTAAGACAAAGACCCAAAGGATCTGGCCTGCCCCATCTCCTGAGAACTTCTGCCAGAGCTAACTTTCCTGGCAAGCTGTGGAATGTGCCCAGCCCAGTCTCTCACTGCCTCTGGGCACAGATGCCATCTTTGCACCGCCCAGGAGGGTCACCCTCCCCTTTTCAATAAACCAGCCTGAACATCTCCCCTGTAGCCTCTTATCTGGACGCCATCGTTTACACCTTTCACTATTTTAGGCCCACTGCCCTCCCCCAGGGCCTTTAAATTGCCCCTTTACAACAGACTTACTGATTTTTATTCTTTTACTTCTACCTTTCAGGAATGTTGGGCTTGGAACTTGTTCCATGTTCTCCCGAGTTGGTGGGATCATTGCTCCCTTCATCCCCTCACTGGTTGGTTTGTACTTCCTAGTAATGTTATTCTCTGCTTTAGAAATGCATGTGTTTCCAAGGTAATAAACAGATGTCATTTAAGATCAGACGACACAGTTCTGAACATTGTGCTTTTTAGATGGAATTGCATCAGGGCAGATGGACCCTTACCGAGGATACGTTTATTCTTGATGGGTTTGATTTCTTGTTCAATCTGGATTTATTGGGGAGCATCTGCTAATGCCAACATGCCACATTCCTGTCTCCACTGATAAGTTAGTCAATTAGTAACTATTTATTAAGCCTCTGCTGTATGCTGGGCTCTATGCTGAGTACTTTATGTATACATATATGATCTCATGTAATCCTTACAATAACCATAAGGGGTAGGCATTGTTGTTACCCTGTATTAATGATAAGAAAATGCTACAGAAAGAAATTAAATATGTTCCCCAAAGGCACACCACTTGGAAAGAAACTTAGATATGAAGTATGCCTGGCAATGTTTATTAGTATCTTTTTGGCATTTTGTGAGTCTCACAGTCAAAAGAAAAGGGGATAATCCTGAGTCCTTCCACTCTGAAAATAACTCTCAAAGAGCTTACGGGTAGAGGCAGGGGGGCATATACAGATTTCTCCTTGGTCTGACCTGAGACTTTCCCGGCCAAGACTGGTGAAAGATGACTAGGCTGGTACGGGGCTTGTGGACCTGCTCTGCAGAAAGCTGTTCATCGTGCAGAAAACTCTACCCACCACTTTTTAGTAAGAGTTGTCTCAGAAACACCACCGTAGCCTTTTCATATTGTGAGTTGGGATATTTTTACAACTGAGTGTCTCTTTCCACATCTGGTGCTTACCTTTAGGTCACAGGACCCTTCTTATGACAGAGCCACGTTAGCTCCATGTGTCATTCTATAAAATATAGGTATCACACGCTAAAGAGATCCAACTGTGGATGGCCGACCTAGAGCGTTACAGGACCCAGCACGATGTGTCGATTGCTGCTAAGTTTAGAAGACGGGAAAGCGCAGGTCCCCTTGCTTCAACAATACCCCCACCCGTGTGGTTTAGAAACCACGTGTATGTGGTAGGGGTTTTCCCCCCAGAGTTTTTATACCTTTAATCCCTGGATCTCTCAGTTACGGTGTTAAGGTATACGGGATGGTTCAGCCAGTTCCAGGGTTGAGAACTTGAAAGTTCTTCATTAGCATATATTTTGGGATGACCCTTAAGGGACAAGTATGTGGGGATCTCGGTGTTACAAGCTGGGGAAGCTGAACACCAGGCTTCGGTCAGCTCTGGACACTGCCTGCCCAGCTCAGGTCAGCGTGGCCTCTTTTCTCCGCTGCCCAACCCAGGCATGATGCGGTGGCTGCTTCCAGTCCACAGACTGGGGCCGGCTTGTATTCCTCACTCTGCCTCTACATGCCGAGGTATCTGTCACCCTAAGGTGCCCTGGGGTCGTTATCCGTGAGGAAAGAAGTGGTTTGTAATGTAGCCGAGCAGGAGGCCTGAGCCCATGGTAACCATGCAGTTCCTCGGTCAGGAGAGGGCTGATGTCACTGCTGGGAAACGAGCCTCAGTTTGTGTGTCCTCATTTCATTCCTTGTCCCCACAGAAATATGTGCAGTGGTCTCTGCCTTTCATTGTCTTTGGAGCCACCGGCTTGACCTCGGGCCTCCTCAGTTTATTACTGCCAGAAACCCTTCACAGTCCTCTGCTGGAGACGTTTTCTGACCTTCAGGTGTATTCCTATCGCAGGCTCGGGGAGGAAGCCTTATCTCTGCAGACCCTGGACCCTCCACAGGTATGAGGTCATGTTTCTAAACCATTATAGCACTTGGGTGATGATAGTTGTTGAAACAAAGACTGTTCGGGTCAGGTTAAATTAGTGACGTTTAACTAGTGTGCCCTGAGAGGATCTTAGGTGTGCTGAGAAAATTGTGAAAGATCATTAATTAATTTCCAAAGACGTTCAAAACACAGTATGTCTCTATTTTCTTTTACTCCTTTGTTTTGATCAACATAGTTTAAGTGTGCCACGAAGTTTAACTATAGGTTCAAGTGTGCCTCGAGATAAAAAATATTGAAAAACACTGGGTTAAATAGAGCTGAATAAAACTGGAAAACAACGGTGGAATGTAACAGCAGCTGATTTCAGAGAGAGATGTGATCGATGACTTTTCTTAGAACGCCGTAGGGGCTGTTTCTTTGGGGAGCAGATGTCGTAAAGATGCATTTGCCAGATGAATAGACAGACAATAACTTTCGCTTTAGAAATGTCCTGACATCATTTCTCTGCCCTTTCCCCTTTCCTGTTTCAGTGTGTGGACAAGGAGAGCACTTTAGGGAGTGAGAGTGAGGAAGAGGAAGAATTTTATGATGCTGATGAAGAGACTCAGATGATCAAGTGAACACTCCCAGATTCCTCCTCGGAAGCGAAGGTTGTGTTTTATGCCTCTGGCTAAGGCAGGTTCTTCTTAAGAGTTGTAGAAAGGTTTGGTTTAAATAGCCACGGATGATACTCAGTGTGGACTGATTTTTTTCCAACCACCAAGGGAAGTTGGAGAAGAGATTTCATGAGAGATGACATCACTGCATTGAAGGAAGATTTGTTAATTTGTCCAAAAGTCAAGTCGAACTCTCAGAATCGTGACCTCTGGTAAATTGCCGAAATCCACTTTCCAGAGTGTTGGGCTGATGTGTTTCTAGAGGTTGATTATGTTGCTTTTCCTTCATGATTACCTAAAAGCAGATGTGTACAATTCTTCACTACCATAGTGGGATAAGATAAATGATCCTTAAGATTAAATCTTTAGCTCATGCCTGTAGATCCCAGCACTTTGGGACCTGAGGCGGAAGGCTCACTTGAGGCCTGGGCAACACAGTCAGACTTCTTCTGTAGAAAAAATGTTTAAAAATTAGCTTTGTGCGGTTATGTGCACCTGAGGTCCCAGGTACTTCAGAGGCTGGGGAGAGAGGGTCACTTGAGCCCGGAAGATTGAGCTACAGTGAGCTATGATCTTGCCACTGCACTCTGGGCAACAGAGTGAGACCTTGTCTTAAAAAAAAAAAGTCTTTTAAAATTTTGGTACATGTTTGGCAGTTGCTCCTTATCAGGAATCTTCTGCTGCAGATTGGTGTCAGCGTTTCAGCAGCTCGATGTCAGCATTTCAGCAGCTCAATATCAGCGTTTCAACTCTGTGTCCCAGGAAAAGCACTCTGATGTGATTTGTTTGTCCCGAGGCCCTGCGGCTTTATCTTGAGGAAATTAGAGTCCTCACCTGGGTTCCCAGCCTGTTGGTTGACTTGGGCTCCTTCTACTTTTAGTCTGAAGATGACTCATTCCTAAAAGCAGGATGTACCAAGGGTTTACTTGAAGGCAGAGGCGTGGCTGTTAGCCCTTTGATTCTTAAATTGTGCAGTTTCTTCAATTCCCACTTAGAGTCTGGTAGTTCACAGTCATGCCCAGTAAATGAGGAAGCTTAAGTAGAAGGCAGTTAAAAAGTGATGTGTGGCTCACACCTACAATCCTAGACTGTGGGAGGCTGAGGCCAGAGGATCACTTGAGGTCAGGAGTCAAGACCAGCCTAAGCACCATGGCAAGACCTACTGGGCGTGGTGCTGTGCATCTGTCGTCTCAGCTCCTCGGGAGGCAGAGGCAGGAGGATGGCGGGAGCCTAGGAGTTGGAGGTTGCAGTGGGTTGTGATTGAGCCACTGCCCTTCTGCCTGGGTGACGGGGTGAGACCCTGTGTCAAAACAAACAAAAAGAGAAAAAAGCCAAAACCATGTGACATGTCGAGAATGTGGGTGTAAAGAAAAAGGTGCAGTTTGTAATAAGGGAGGAAAGAAACCTATCCCTCGCAATTCTTTGTTTGTTTTGCTTCCAGTGTTGTGGCGCCAGGGACTTAGGGCAGCATTTAACAACCTAAACTCTTCCTGCCCTGGAGTAGCCCGGGTCTGTTCACTCAGAATGGGAGGCTCAGTAGTTTCCTAGGAAGCGTTGGCTTTTCGTTACATACTGTCCACTTTCAAATGACTCAAAATCATGCTTAGTTTCCTAAAATCGTGTGCTGAAAATATTTTCCCACAAAACTTGGAAACCATCTCAGACAGGACAATGATCCTGGAGGCAAGCTTGGGCAGCCTTGCTCCAGGTCACTTTCCCAACCAGGAAAACGTCCATGTTTTCAGACTCTCCATTTCTGCTAATCTCTTGAAGAAAAAGTAATTGCCTTCGCAATAAAGAGAAGCTGTCACTGTGGTTACTTCTGGAAATCTTGGGAGCACCATCCCCAGTTGGCTCCAGACACTCCCCTGCTCTCTTCCACGGTGATGTCTTGGTTGGCACCACGCCAGTGTGTACCTTTGTATTTTTTAAACTATTTTTATGTCCTTTATGCCCTTAATTATGTATTGAGCTCTTCATAAACAGGGCCCGTGTCTACTGCTGTTTCACTCTGCCAGGCCCAGAACATTGGTTTAGACAGAGTAAGGATCTAATAAATATTACTGTTTCTAGCCATCAGGGACATCGTGGAACTCCCCCAGCCTCATTTTTGCACACCCCAAGCAAATCTGAACCAAATTGTGGACTCCTGTTTGTCTTTCTCTGGAAAATGAAGACCTGGTCACCATTAGGATAGGGAGAGGAAGAACTTACAGAGACATATGGAAATTCTTCTTAAATGGTTGAGCATTTAAAATAAAGTAGTGAACTAATGTATATATAATCTTTGATTGAGGCTTTCTTTGTACTATAAGAATAACATACTCCATTATGAAAAATTTGGAAATTATAAATTTAGAGATGTATCACCCATAGACCCAACATCCAGAGACAACCTGTGTGATAGCCGTGTTCCATTTGAAGACCACCCGGGAGTCCATCTGTCTATTGGCACTGGGTCTCCTCCTTTCTCTGCTCTGAGCTGTAAGAAAGGCTGGAGATGGACATTTGAATTAAAAGTCTGGGCTGGCCATCAGCTGCTAATGTCAGGTGTGTCTCTAAATTTTCTTTCTAGATGGTTCGTTAGCCAAGTTTAATAATGACTGTTTTTTATTTATACCACTTTTGTAAAAGCAGACTTGTTCCCTTTGGATAATAACTGCTGAAGAATATTGTTTGTAGAGTGTGCCTGTGTATATATTCGCATTGGTTATATTGTTGGAAAACTTTTAATTCATAGGTAACACATATTTTGTTTGTACAGATGATTTGTAAAAAAGTGTCCTTTTTTTATTCTTTTCAAAATTAAATTTCTTTTCTGCTAAACGTAGCAAGAAAAGCGTAAACCACATAGGAAGTGTAAGACCCCAGGGTTTCCAGGGTCAACGGTCTCCTGAACAGCTTGTCTAGAACCTTCATACCACACAGATATGTTGAGAGAAACCGTGTTGCAATTTTCTCATCTCGTGAGTTAAAACTGCCACTCATTAGAAAGCCAGTACTTGTCATCAGGTTGCTTTCAAACAATGCAGATATTCTTTAGTATTTTTAAATGAGCAAATAAAATATAAAAAATGAAAACAAAGGTTTCTGGGGGACTGCTTACATGAGTATCATTTGGACAGGTATTTTTATGGGCAATCAAATCGATGAAGAGGAAACATACGTGTTTCTCCTCACTCTCTCAAGGTGTCTTTGTAAATACTGCAAATGTACTGAGCTCCAATAAAGTGATGCTTTCAAGACTTAAAAAAAAATTGATGAAGAGACTTTCATTAGGTGATTTTTATCTTAATAAATGAATACTGAAATATTATAGAAGTATAATACTGAACTATAACAGAAGTAAAATAGAGCTTTCCATTAGGACTCACCCCTTCATACAAACTCTTGATCACTGGTTCTTACACTGGCAGGGTATCTGTAAATTTTGAGATTTCTTTTTACTAAATGAAAAGCAGGTGTCTTGGTTTCTTGTGAATTTAATAAAGGATCCCAAAACATAGGCCTTTTCTTTTGTTCTCACAGAACGTCTCAAAATGTACAGTAACATCTTTGACAAACTGGGCAAACATGGAACCTGCTGGAGATGATGGGTGGTAATGAAATTGAGAGGCATGAGTTCAAACGATAACTGTGTGAGTAAAAATGCCTTCGAAAGAGAAAAATGGAAAGATGATGCCTTGTGGAAAATCCACCGAAGTCGTACATCCGAGGAACAAGGCCTTCTGATTATTACCTCAATAGATACATACGTGAAGATTATTTGACAAAATCCAACACCCTTTCAAAATAAACGCTACTGGCAGACTAAGAGTCAAAGGAAGCTTCCTTCACGAAACCAGGGCTATAGCAGCAGGTCTGGTGAAGTGGCACACAGCACCTGTTCACCTTCCTGGTACTTTGCCTTCAGACTTTTTTGATCATAACCCACAAGAACGGTTTTTATATATTCCTTGTCCTCCTTTAAAAATATGTACACAAATTATAAAACATATTTGTGTGTATGTCTGTAACTTTCATGAAATAATACCTATTCTTGATAGGCACACTGATAATTTCTATTCTGTCCTATTTTTTAAAATGCAATTTGTAACCTACTAAACCAATTTCATGACCCACTAATAGGTTCCAACCCATAGTTTGAAATCCACTGTTGTACTCTGTCTTCATGTCCAGAGAGGCTTAAAGCTAAAATGTACTTTTCCTGAACGCCTTTGCAGCTAGGCCTCTAGGTGCAATTTAGTTTGCAGAGACAGATGGAATCTGAAAAGTGGATTTGGAAGGTGCAGGCCAGACTTCTGCTGGGTCGTCTTTGGTCTGCTCAGAGTCACAGTGGTGGGGACATCTGGTTTCCCTAAGGAGTGTTAGCCAGTGATGTCATCACTCAGGGATAATATGGATTAAGGTCTTCAGATTTGTTGACATAGAACAGTAAGAAGTCTAATATTTGCCCAGGAAGGCAAGGTTTTTAAACAGTCACCATAAAATTAAAAGAAAGCCAATAGATTAGGAAAACTTTTTACACCTTCTATAAACAATAAGGATTAATATGCAGAATAAAAAATGATTGCAGATACAAGAAAGAAAAGTAGCCTATAGTTAGGCTACTCAAAGATCACAAGATGCTCAACCTCCCTAGAGGATCAGGGACGTGGAAATTGAAACAACATTAAGATATCACTTAAAACCCATTAGATTGAGGGGAAAGTCATAATATCCAACGCAAAGGCTCTGAAGAAATCGTGATAGACGCTGGGAATTTATTCTTCACCTACTTTGTCATTAGCAAGCAAGGTTGAAGACGTGTATATTGTATGATACAGAAATTCTGCTTCAATACGTGTATCATGGGAGAGCGTTTTCAGAAATTTTTTACTATAACCCACTGTAAAAAAAATGTTTTTTACACTATGGCACACAGTACACACACACACAACTGAATCAGTCTTGTAAAACAACTCAAGTACAGCATATGCTCTGTTTTATATTTTACTTCTTAAAAAAGGAATACTAGTGAAGACATTAAAATGATTTTATAATTCACCAGTAGACCAAAACTCGCAGCTGGGAGAAGTGAACCATCCTGTCCTTCACACTTGCCTTAGTACTTGCCTGGTACACACATGTGCAAGAGATGTGTACTAAGACGTCTGCCACAGTGGTGTTGTAGTAAAATAATGACATTCAACACTTTCAGTAAGAAAATTTATATAATTTCATATGCACAGGATAGGATAAAAACAGGAGTCCTATGTATTGAGGTGGATGGATCTCAATAATGTTGACCAAAATGTTGGCAATTTTTTTCTGGATTGAAGTTATTTCATCCTTAAATTCTATGGTGAATCATTACTTGCTAATTAAAGAGATTCGAGTGCTTCTTATGCCATACTTTATAGCCAAGGCTATTGTTATTTTATGCCAAAAATATAGAC